ATCGCAACTTCCATGTAAAGAAGGAATTCTTATTCTCATTCTATAGATGAAGACACAGAGGCTTACGGGGGTTAAGTAACTTGTCTTAAGTCGTAGAATAAATAAGGGATTGAACCAGAAATCAAATTGAAATGTATCTAATCCTAAAGACCATGCTTTTAACTCCTGTTCTCTCTTGGACTCTAACACTGTTTTTTCTTATGAAAACACAGGAATGATGACTAGTTGAGTGCATTCTTATGAAACTCATAGTCATTCTATGATGTAGGTTTCCTTAGGAGGACATTTTTTTACATGAAATTATTGACTTAGAGTTGATCCTTGAACAACACAGGTTTGAACTGCAAGGGTCCACTTACACGCAAATTTTTTCAACAACTATATGGGAAAATATTTTTGGAGATCTGTGACAATTAGAAAAACCTTGAGATGAACCATGTAGCCTAGAAATATTTTAAAAAATAAGAAAAAGTTGCTCATGTCACAAATGCGTAAAATATACATCAATACTTGTCTGTCTTCTCATTTACTACCATAAAATGTAAACAAATCTATTATAAAAAGTTAGAACTTATCGAAATGTCAGAATGTATACATACACACAAAAACTGTGTGATGCCATCTGTAGATGAGAAAAAATGTAAATGTAAAGACTAAATCCTCACTGCACAAAATGAACTGTAGTACATACTGTACTACTATAATAATTTCACAGCTACCTCCTGTTGCTATTGTGGTGAGCTCTAGAGTTGCAAGTATCTGCTTAAAACACCATATGACACCAATCATCTCCACGTGAACAGTTCATCTCTCCAGTAAATTGCGTACAGCAGTTAAAAGTGATCTCTTGAGATTCTCGCATATTTTTCATCATGTTTAGTGAAATACCATAAATCTTGAATAACACCATGGGACTCTAACGAAGTGCCACTAAAGATGCTAGAAGTACTCCCAAGTATCAGAGAAAAGTCATGACATTATAAGAAAAGTTGAATTGCTTGATACGTACCATAGGTTGAGGTGTGCAGCTGTGGTTACCTGCCATTTCAGTCAGACGACGTAAACTTACAGTATCGATAAATGCAGCACAGTTCTGCAAATGTATTTTCCCTTCCTTATGATTTTCTTAATAACATTTTCTTTTCTCCAGTTTCTTTGTTGTAAGAATACAGTATATAATACAAAATATGTGTTGATTGACTATTATCAGTAAGGCTTCTGGTCAACAGTAGGCTATTAGTAGTTAAGTTTGGGGGGAGTTAAAAACTAAACACAGATTTTTGACCATATAGGGGGTCAATGTCCATAACCCCCACATAGTTCAAGGGTCAACTGTATTCTAACCAGTATCATATCTTTCCATTTGTTGTGTCCTACAGTGGGGCACAGCAGGTACCAAATGAATGAATGGGAGTCCTTGGGCCTATGAGAACGCTACACCAAAGCACTGAGATAATTTGTGGACAGACTGATGGCAGTGATCTTGAGGAATGAAGAATGGGAGGTTCAAGAACACCAGAGAGAAAGTGGAAGAAGGCAGATTCCACAGAGCACAAAGCTGTGAGCTTATCCAGGATGCAGAGCAAGACCTGGCCTTATTATTACTGAAGTGATGGTTAATGGCACCCCACACCTACTAACCATCACTTCAGCACTGATCATTGAGATCCAGCACATACTCACTAAGGACAGTCATTTCAGACCAACCCACTGCCTTCTTTGCCTGGGCTTGCAGAAATACCATAAGCCGCAGCAAGCAGCTGGAGCTGGGTTGTGGCTGACCCTTCAGAAGAGGTTCTATGTTCTTCCATTCACCCATTTACAGCCCCTGGATTAGCTGACAGACTGAATGACGAATCAGGACTTTACAGTGAAATATAACAGGGATGAAAATAAGATCTTGCACTTGGTTTCAAAAACCCAACTGAGTAAATCCAAGATAGGGAAGGCTGTGATTTAGGAGCAACAAATATAAAAATGTCTTTGAGTAAGCTGATAGCAAGCTCAATGAGAGATCACAGTGTGACGTGGCTGGCAGAATAGTTAGAAGCAACCTTAGCTGCATTAAAGGAACATAGTGTCTGTGCTAGAATAAGGGAGGTGACAGTCCTAATCTGGGGTGGCTGGCCTGCACTACAGCTGTACTATGGTGACTTCTGGAGAGCTCACTTTGAGAAGGTCTGGTAACAGGTCGATCTGCTAGGTATTCTCCATTTCCCCCGTCCCCACTGTGATCCATTCTCCGCACTGCTCTGTGCACTATGGAAGCTGCCCCTATATATTGCAGATCCCTTGCTCTGATGGGTTCCCACTGGGTTAAGCCCCAGTAGGTGATGCAAGGGCAAGAAGACAGAGAACATGCAGAATGTGCATTTCTTGTGCCACTCTCTTCTTGCTCTGTCTGCACATTTCTGACAATGGCTGCATCCCTCTATGACTATAGTTCCAGTCCAGCAGCCCCTCGTCCATAGCCCCAGTTTGTAATAGGTTCCAATTTGCTTCCCTTGTCCCTCAGGCCTCTGAGTGATTAAGAGCTTCCCCCTGTTGCTAGCCCCTAGGGACCTCAGCATCCCGTCTTAGTTCCCTTAACCCTGCCCACAGCTCTGTCAATAGCCCCTTCACTAAACTATTTTCAAAATCTCAACAAATTGGCCTTTTTCCTGCAGGGACCCTGACTGAAACTAAAGAGACAGGATGCAAAAGACCTTAAAATTATGTCTGTGAGGAATAGAGGATATTGGGCCCAGTGACGAGAAGACTCAAGAAAGCAGGATAGCCTACTTCAGCAAGGTATCAATAAAAGGCCACCCCAGACTCATTCTCTGGCTCCAACAGTAATAGGTACAGAGAGATACATTTTGGGCTAAATATAAAATAAACCTTTCTACAGAGTAGGTAAAGATGGTTCTCCTGGTAGCAGATATTTTTTATTGCATGAGCTTCAATATTTCTCAGTTGCCCCATCTTAAACCAGATGAGACTATGTCAGGAATGCTGTAAGGAATAAGTTAGAAACATGGTCTAGAAAAGAGCTTTCCAAGCCAGGGTTTCATGATTTGCCACCAACTGTACACTACTCAGTGGGTTACCAAAATAACCAATGTGGGGAAACTTTCGTATGTTTTTGCTGCTTCTCGTTTCAATCTAAAGAACAGAAGTCTAGTTCTTCAAGTCTGATAATCCTAAACACTGAAGACGTTTTTATACTTTAAGATGACTCACAAACATGAAACATTTTACACAGCATCACAGCTTTCAAAAGGTTATTTCCAATTCACGGGCAATCTATTAAAAACATTTTTTAGGGGGCAAGAGAAGTTGATTAATGGTTACAAATATACCATTTGATAGAAGACCTAGTGTTAGATTGGTAAAATAACTATATTTTATAATAACCTCTTGTATATTTCAAAATATCTAGAATTCCAATGGTCTAGCATAGAGAAAAGGCAAATATTTAAGGTGATGGATATCCCAAGTACACTGATTTTGTCAGAGGCATGTGAACCAGAGCAACTCCATCCTGAATGGGGCTAGGTAAAATAAGGCTGAGTGAGACCCACTGGACTGCACTCCCAGAAGGTTAAGGCATTCTAACTTACAGGATGAGATAGGATGTCGGCACAAGATACAGGTCATAAAGACCTTGCTGATAAAACAGGTTGCAGTAAAGAAGTCGGCTAAAACCCAAAACCAAAATGGCGATCAGTGCAGACACTGGTCTTCTGCATTGATACACTCCCACCAGTACCATGACAGTTTACACATGCCATGGCAACGTTACCCTATATGGTCTAAAAAGAGGAGGCATGAATAATCCACCCCTTGTTTAGCATACCATCAAGAAATAACCATAAAAATGGACAACCAGCATCCCCAGGCTGCTCTGTCTATGGAGTAGCCATTCTTTTATTCATCTACTTTCTTAATAAACTTGCTTTCACTTTACTGTGTGGACTCATCCTGAATGCTTTCTTGTGTGAGATCCAAGAACCCTCTCTTGGGGTCTGGATTGGGACCCCTTTCCTGTAACAACTTGAGCTTTACAAATTATATGAATGTATTAATCACATGTGCCCCAAAACTATGTACATCATGCATCGATTAAAAAAATGTTTAAAACAAAAAATTTTAACTCAGCAACTTCTATCTACACACCAATCTTCTATCTACACATCAGTGCTTCTTGAGAGCTGCCACCTCAGTTTTCAAACCAAAAACCAGGACGCAAAATCTGCCCATGGGCAAAAATATTCTACATGCAAACTACCCTGGAAAAAAAAAAAGAATAAGGTCGCCTCAGTTCACTCTGGTGGGGCGGGGGGAGGCCCACGACGATGTTTGTGTCTCACGCAGGTTTTCTCCTTTGGTGGGGGTTTATCGTGTATTACACCGAGGGCATGCTAGGTTTGCCAGTTTTTCGCTCATTCATTCAACAAACACTCGATGTCCACCTACTCCATTAACAGGGCCCTTCTCGGCCCTCGGGATGGACAAAAGATCCGAAGAGGCCAACGCCACGACGCCGCTATCAGAGGACGTCAGCAGGTCCAGGAAACGACCTGATTTTAAGGACCAATGAAGTCAACGAGTGAGAGTGACGGCGCCCAGGAAAGTTGCGGCGGAAACTTGGGAAATGCCAGCCTTCGGGCGCAGAGGGCGGGGCAGGGCCTACCGGATCGCGCTGCCTGCGGTCTGGGGCCCCGCCTGGGCTACGGTCCTGCCGCCTCCGGCCGCCAAGCGGCGCCTGCCCACTGCCCGGCGGGGGCGTCGGCCTGGTCTCCGGCCCAGGAGGGCAACGCCGCAAGCCGGCGGGGCGGCCTCGATGGCCCGCGAGCCCCAGGCTCAGTGTGGGGCGCGAGTCGCTCCTGCCCGACGTGCCCGGGAAGCGCGCGCACTCATCGCCGCGCGCTCCCGAACGGCCCCAGCGCCCCGGCCCCTCGGCCCCTATGGCACCCCCCAGCTCCTACCGCCCGCCCGGCCTGCCTGGCCGCACTCACCCTCCTTGGCTTTCTTCCTCCGGGCCAGGGTCCCTCCGAGTTTCCCCAAGAAGGAATCATCTTTCTTGCGGGACGGAGGCGACTTAGGAGTGGGGGACTTGGGGACAGAAGGCGACTTCTGCGGGGAGGTGGCCATGGCGCGGCTCAGGCAGCCGCGGGCCGGTCGGGACGCGGAGCTGGCGCTGGGCTGACGCGGCGGGCGGCGGCGGCGGGCTGAGGCTGCGGCTTTCCAAACGGAAGCGGAATTATTCCAAGCATTTGAGGCAGCTCACGCTCGCCTTTCCCTTCCCTCGCTCCCTCCCTCGCTCCCTCCCTCGCACCGCCCTCTGCCCTGGAAGGAGCTGTGCTCCTGGGCCGCGCCCTGCGCCCCTGGGTTGCCCCAAGCAGGGGGGATGCCCCAAAACTGCCACTTGCAGTACAGGAGGCCGTGTGTGCCCAGGTTGGGAGCGCTCGAGCTGGAAAGCTTCATTTACCCAGGCTCTGCACCCATCACACAGCCTGGGGCAAAGCAAATCTGAGAACCAACCCAACCCTGCTACTCTCCCAAGGTCTTCCAGCCGGGGCTGGTGAGCTCGCTCTTCCCCAGCACTACTGCCTGTGGAGTTATCAGGCCCACGTCTTGCGCCCACAAGACTGCAGCTCCTGGAAGAAATTACTAGAGTGAACCAAAATGCGTCCAGGCCCCACCAAAGTGGGCAGAACCAATCACTCCTGAACCTATCCATGATAGTCAGCCTCCTCTTCTCTACTCCCATCCGAGACTGAGAAGCCTGGAGTGCACAAGGGTAAAGCCGAGGCTGCTTATTGTAAGACATCCGTGTTTCTAGCAGCTTATATAAACGAAGATCACACATGGTAGTGGAAACATGAATGGGAAAAGCACAACCATGAGCTCCTACAGGACCTCCCAGAGAATTTATCCTGCTAAATAAAATCAAGAGAGTGACAACCAGACTCATTTGAGATAACAGGGGAGTCACACAAAGCACAGTGTTTGAAGGACTCATACTGGAAATGATTAAAAGGCACGTGTTATTGTGCTTGCCCATCTCAAGTTCTCACTCGGGCTGTTTGTCCCTCTATCTCTCTCACACACGGACTCACAGCGCCTTGGCAACTGTGTTTCCTCCTTATGGCCCCTTCCCTCTAGGCTACAGCTGATTGAACCTGGGTGAACAACTAATCCAAAGGGCGCTACTGCTTTACTGAAGAGCAGCCGATTGGCTAGCCCCAGTTAAGACTCTGCACTAAGCTGGAGAGACTGTTGTCAGAAGTTGTGCTCGTGACTGATGATCACTCGCAGTCAAGACTGGGGTGGCTGTTTCTAACCACGTGCCTGCTGACGAGTAGGGAAACAAAAGAAAGGAGCAAAGAAGTGTGCTCAAAAAGCCACTTGGTCTGCCTAATGGAAACCGTGGGGAGTAGCTGCTTGGACCTGGAATGTTTTCCCAGACCCCACTTGCACTTCCTGCCAAGGCCAGCTGTGCTTCTTCCCGGGAGCTGTTACTCAGCCTTTTATTAACCCATCCACCTTACCTTAGACTAAATAAACTGACAAGCAACAGTTTCAGAGTAGAACTAAAATTTAACAAACAAGACAGTCAATAGAGTCTCAACACTATATAGGTTCATTTTATCTTTGCTTGAGAGTCATAATTTTACTTTTTTTTTTTTTTTTGGAAAATTCTACTTTAGTTGGTGCCTCTTACCTAACAGCAGAAAAGTCACGATGCCCGCTAGCCTGGGAGGATTACTACAACTCCTCCTCCCAGACAATAAATCTTAAAGGGATGGTGAGAACCCAAAATAGAAGTGTGTTTTGCTTACATCATTAATCATTTTCATTCAGGATATCAGATGTAGGACATCTTCAAAAGTGTATCTCCAGCACCTGGAGCTCTTGTCAGGGAATTAAGAGACACATAGCTCAATAGCTGTGTGATCTTGGAAAGGTTTACTCCCTTTTCTGAGTCTCCATTTCCTCATCTACAAAATGAAATGGTTGGTACAGAATGGTGGTTCTCAAACTTGATTGTGCATCACAGTCCCCTAGAAGTTTGTTACATTCACAGGCCCCATCTCCAGAATTCTGATTCAGTAGATCTCAGGTGAAACCAAGGGATAGGTGTTTAAACAGACTCCATCAGGTGATTTCGATGTACTAATAGCTGATTCACACACTGATATCTTGCCATTTAGGGCTACTTTCAGCTCTAACAGTTTGTGGTTCTTTATTCTTTCAAAAATTGCTAATTTCTGTATGCAAGACTTAGTCTTAAATGTGGCATAATCAAAATCACCCATGGAGATTCCTTCAATTGCCCATGCATGCTTTTACATATATAATACTCCTCAGTAATTGTTATGTTCATTAAACTTTGAAAACCACTGAGCAAGGCTAAAAGGAAGGGTAAAGTCTTGATTGTTGAATGCTAGCTCCCAGAAAATATCAGCAAAATAAGCTGTGGAAGAAGGCAAAGCTGAATTTTTTGTATACCATGATAAGAAGAGCCCTGCCTTGGCAGAGTCTCAGTAGCATCTGGGAGTAGGGGAAGGGATATTTATAAGGTTTTGGAATCTTGATGAAGACAGGCCTTTCAGTGGGATGGTGCTTGATTAAGTTTGACTAAGGATCATGATATGATAGATTAGGACTGGTAGACCCAAGGCAAAGCTTTCCAAGATTCTTGGAGAGTAAATAGTCTTTTTAATGCTATCTATTAAAAAGTGTAAGGGGTTTATGTTCATTTCGATGAGATTTGGTGGGAAGTTCTTGAAAAGAACAAGAAAGTTATTCATAGCTTTTATCTTCCTGGGCAAGAAATTTTTGGAAGACAGACAGGGGAATGATAAAGTCCTGTTAATGTATGCAATAACCTGCATTGGTGGGAATGGTTTCCAAGGTCTCATTATTATGCCGATATCTTGTTATTCAAGCATTTCTACTGGTAAGATCATTATCAATCTTTTCTGGAAAGGCCAGTGGGAATGGGTGGTGAATTATAAATCAGTGCTACTCACAGTGTAGTCTGCAAACCAGTATCGATCTGGATACCATTATTAGCTGCCAAGACCAGCTCGGTCGGGGAGACCCTAACCCAGTGGTGCTAGAGGAATTAAAGAGACACACACAGAAATATAGAGGTATGAAGTGGGAAATCAGGGGTCTCACAGCCTTCAGAGCTGAGAGCCTCAAACAAAGATTTACCCACATATTTATTAATAGCAAGCCAGTCATTAGCATTGTTTCTATAGGTATTAGATTAACTAAAAGTATCCCTTATGGGAAACAAAGAGATGGGCCAAATAAAGGGATGGGTTGGGCTAGTTATCTGCAGCAGAAGCATGTCCTTAAGGCACAGATCACTCATGCTATTGTTTGTGGTTTAAGAACGCCTTTAAGAGGTTTTCCACCCTGGGTGGGCCAGGTGTTCCTTGCCCTCATTCTAGTAAACCCACAACCTTCTAGCATGGGTGTTATGGCCATCATGAACATGTCACAGTGCTGCAGAGATTTTGTTTATGGCCAGATTTTGGGGGGCCTGTTCCCAACAATTAGCCAATGACACAAATGTAGAAATTGAGAGTTTTTAGAAACTTTTATAGCAATTTAACAACACTTTATGTCTGTTTAATCTAATAATAAAAATCAGGAGCATATATTTTGAATATCTTTTCATTCTATTTTTCTAGTAATTTTTATTTTTATTTTATTTACAAAAATATTGCTCTATGATGAATTGGTCCTTTAGCAGATTGTTTGAGAAGCACTGTTCCACATTGCTCCTGTTTACTTACAGAGTTCATCTACTCTCATTTGATATAATGCTTTTAGAATCCTTAAGAATGCAAATTGATCTGTTTTTTGTTTGGAAGATTAAATGAGATAATCTATGGGAAAGCACCATCTACAGGGCCTGGCACTGAGGTAGGCTGAATCTAAATCTTACTTAGTCAGAGACATGCTGCATGCTATTCTTTGATAGGATGAGAAGACCTTGTACCAGCTCCCTCCAATCTAAATTGATATTTACAATTATGTCCCCACTGAACAGCACCCTCTCTCATGCTTGGTCATTGTTTTCATCTTACACGAGGGGTTTGTTTATAAGGACAGATCATCAATTAAATGTGTGATGTGTAAGACTGCTGAATCTCTAGGCTGCCTCTTCTTGAAATTGGGGCCTAGACAAATGCACTGGAAGAGAATAAAGTCAGGTTCCAATCTTGGCTCAGCAGTCAGGTGATCTTGGATAAATCTCTTCCCTTTCTGCATTTATTTTTCCCATCATCTATAAAATGAAGCCAAGGCAGTACCTACTAAAGCCAACCATCATACATACCTTATGATCAACAATTTCAATTATGGATTATACCCAACAAAAATGAATACATGTGTACACACAGATATAGGCTCTAGAAAGTTCACAGCAGCACCATTCGAGTGCCTGCTAACAGTTGAATTGATTGTGATAACCACAGCAACGAGAGTGAACAATTTGCAACTACAAGCAGCAATAGGAATGTATCTTACAATATAATGTTGAGTGAAGGAAACCAGACACAAAAGAGCACATACTGTATAATTCTATTCACATAAAGTTCACAAACAGGCAAAACTACTCTATAATGTTAGAAGTCAGGATATTGATTAGCCTTGGATGGTATAGTGACTAGAATGGGATGGGCGGCATGAGGGAGACCACTGGAGCTGGTAATGTTCTGTTTTCTGATCTGGGTACTGGTTACATGGATATATTCACTTTTAAAATCAATGGGACATACAAATAGTACTTTCAGCAAATTTTCTGTATGTATTTTATACTTCAATAAAAATCTACAGCTGGGCATGGTGGCTTACGCCTGTAATCTCAGCACTTTGGGAGGCTGAGCTGGGCAGGTTGCCTGAGTTTGGAGTTCAAGGCCAGCCTTGACAACATTGCAAAAACCTGTCTCTACAAAAAATAGAGACATGTTGGTTTGCTGCACCCATCAACTTGTCATTTACATTAGATATTTCTCCTAATCCTATCCCTCCCCCAGCCCCCAACCCCCCAACACGTCCCTATATGTGATGTTCCCCACCCTGTGTCCTCATTGTTCAACTCCCACCTATGAGTGAGAACATGCGGTGTTTGGTTTTCTGTCCTTGTCATAGTTTCCTTAGAATGATGGTTTGCAGCTTCATCCATGTCCCTTCAAAGGACATGAACTCAACCTTTTTTATGGCTGCATAGTATTCCATGGTGTATATGTGTATATGTGCCACATTTTCTTAATCTAGTTTATCATTGATGGACATTTGGGTTGGTTCCAAGTCTTGGCTATTGTGAATAGTGCCGCAATAAACATACATGTGCATGTGTCTTTATAGTAGGATGATTTATAATCCTTTGGGTATTTACCCAGTAATGGGATAGCTGGGTCAAATGATATTTCAAGCTCTAGATCCTTGAGGAATCCCACACTGTCTTCCACAATGGTTGAACTAATTTATACTCCCACCAACAGTGTAAAAGTGTTCCTATTTCTCCACATCCTCTACAGCATCTGTTGATTCCTGACTTTTTAATGATTGCCATTCTGACTGGCATGAGATGGTATCTCATTATGATTTTGATTTGCATTTCT